AAGATTATGAAGAACCTAAAAGAAGAAACCATCCAGGACATCGCACTATGTGGGACGGCCCACATTCTTCGGAAAATATTATAAATAGCACCACCGATATTCGAGTATTTGTCCCTAAGGAATCGGGTAGAGACCTGGGATAAATGCTTAAAAACCCCGACAGATAAGAGCCTTGTCGTGTTTAAGAGTGACCATAATAATAATAATAATGATGATGATGATGATGATGATTTTCTTCTTCGCAATTTTATTTAAAAAAAAAAAAAAGGTTTGAAATGTTTTAAAAAAAACCTCAGGGATTTTATCCGGTTTAAATCTGGAAGGAAAAGTTTGTTAACCTCTTTTTCTCTCTCTCTCTCGTTTAAATTTAACAAGTTTTTTTTTTTTTGACTGGAAAAATGAATAATAATTTATTACCGATAATAATAAAAAAAATATTTTCCAGAAAAATAACAAGGAAAAAAAATTAATATTATTATTATTAAGAGTCACGGTTTTTCCGAAAAAAAAAAAAAAAAAATTTTTTTGCGTTTGGTATTAACGGTAAAAAAACGACAACGTCGTCGGTCAGTTTTGTCGTCGTCTGACACGTTATTTTAATCGTTTGTTAGCGTTTGTTTGCGTTTGTCGAGTGTTGCACACGGAAATCTTTAAATACCTTTAAAGACTTAAAAGAATGTCGCGAAGTTTTTTTTTTTTTTTTTTTAATCGTGTTTTGAATATGTTGGCTTATGCCGTGAGAAAAACAATAACTTTAACGCCTTCTTTATTTATTTATTTATTACGATAATAATGATAATAATGATAGTGACAATAATAATAATAATTGAATAATATCTATAATTTATTTATTTTTAAAGTTTTAAATTTTTTGAACACAAAAATAGTTTTTTTTTAATTTAAAATCGTGAAAAAATTAATTAATAATTATTGTTTATGTTTTGTTTTTGTTTAACAAAATGGCTTTTCCTGTTGACGACAGCAAAGTGACAACAGTGGAAAATCATTTCTAAATAATTCGAGAATCGATATTTACGATCTGCAGCAAAAAAAAAAAAGAAACATGAGAAGAAAAGTAAAAAAAATCTCACATATTAATATTTAATTTAAAATTCAATATCGATACGACACATTTTATCACCTACAAAAAAAACTAATAATAATAATAATGTTTTACGTGAACGTAATAATAATATTTTAAAACTATTTTTTCTGCCGGGAAAAAAATTTTTTTTTTTATTAGGTTTATTGCAGTAAAACCTTTTTTTTCGTTTTGTTAAATTATAATTAATTAACAAATATAGAAAAAAAAAGGTGTTAATTTGTTTTTTTTGGAGGGAGGCCGGGGGGGGGGGGGTTAAAACCGCTCACCTACGTGTGAGATTTGCTTTTATGTATCCATTAAATTAACGTTAATTTTTGAAAAAACTTTTTCGTTTCGTAAAAATGGCAACAGCGCAAAAAGAAAAATCACGTTTATATTCACGTGTTTATTTAAAAAATTTTTTTTTTTACGTTAAATAAATTTTCAACAAAAAAAAATAAAAAATAAAAAAAATCTAGATTTTTCCATTTTATTTTCATCCCTAACTATATATATATATATAAACTCACGGCATTCGACCCCTGACCTTTTAATTTATTTTCTACAACCCTCGAACGAAGGGAAAAAATTCGCATTCTGGCTTAGCTTTTATTTTCAAGCCCAAAAAAAAAAGAAAAAAGAAAAAAATTTTCCTACTAGGGGCTTTTTAACATCAAAACGAATAAAATTTAATCTAGACGTGGATAAAGTTTGCGTCGTCTGCTTTTTACTTCCCCTTTTACGTAAAATCTCTTTTTTTTTTATTTCAATTTTATATAAATGTTCGACTATAATTTTTATTTTTTATTTTTTTTTGTTTCAGACCCAAGAGGACACTGCTATGGGTGGGCTTAATTCTGGGCCTGGTCCTGGATTAACTTTATTTATAGCAATTTTTTTACTATTGGCACAAACTGTTTTGACCGGTAAGTTTTTTTCACTCTTTTCTTTTTTACACGTTGCTCCTTGATGACGGGTGTGAGTGCACGTGTTCAATCGTCACCTTTTACTTAATAATTTAATGACGTATTTAAAAAAATCCCCCAATTTCCATATTTACCACGTAAAGATGATCTTGGACGCTTGCTTGAATGACGTCATAGGTATATATAATAAATTATTACTACCGAATTCCAATGTAATAAAAAAAATTATAACTCGATAATAATGATAATTTTTTTTTTGTTTATTTATTAATAAATTATTTTACAATGAAGATTATTCATTACATAAATTGGTGATTTATTATTATTATTATTATTATTATTTTACGCTCGAAGGAAAAAATTAAAAAATTAAAAAAAAAGTAGCCGACGAATTAATTAAAAATTTTACACGGTCTACGTGGTTTTTGTTATGAAATAATTTTTTTTTTTTTGGAATATTTATGAAAATATTCGTTCGTATCGATCGATGACTTTCATATTATCTCATTTAATAATAATAATAATAATAATAATAATAATAATAATAATAATAATAATAATAATAATAATAATAATATTAATATTTTCACGCCGTAAAAAATCAATTTGAAACCGTAAAGGAAAGGGAAAAATTTTTTTTTTTAAACGGACAAACGAAAATGAAAATGAAAAAAAATTGCAAAATGCTACGTGTACATATATGCAAATGAAAAAAACTATTTCGATA